TTCGAAAATGTATATTTTCAACTTTCTGTGCAGAAATCATCTGATTGGTCACTTGTTGACCAATCAGATTTTACCTCTATTAGATAGCCCTGGGAATTGTCTCACGAATGGTGAAAACCGCAGGTCTCTACGATGTTCCTATCAAAAGTTATTGAATCAACAGTGGTGCAGGTCCTATTGAAAATATAGTATAGTAAATGTGATTTATATATGGTATTTGCTAATTCTTGAACGGAACGTGCTAGAACCTTAAAATTTTGTGGCAAGATAGCTAATAGGTACTCACTTGTACACACAAAGTTTCATTGAAAACTAATGATGCTAAAGCGAAAAAGTTAAGCACCCCCGAAAACTCTATTTTTCCTAGTTTAAGGGATTCCATTTCAGACACATCTTGGACTCTCCAAGTTCATGAAAACGATTTTTTTTCTTAAAAGAAACGATGTCACCCCATAGCGGCGAATCTGGAGAACAAGTTTTGAAAGACAAAATTTTTTTCTAAGGCTTCATAAGAGTAGGGGACGAGGTAAGAACTACTTTTTTCGCAAACATCAAAATAGCTGGAAAAACCGATTTTTTCAATTTTTGAAAATTTTATAACTCAGCCAAAGAACATCCAACCCGCGAAATATTTTAACCCTAGACCCTTGGGGTCTAACCCTACAAACTGACAAAATTTGAGGGCATGTTAGGGGGGGGGTACCCCCCCCCTTAAAAATTAAATAAAGATTTTCGAGGTCAAGGAATCTGAATCGCAAGACCAGTTCTCATATCACAGATTTCAATGAACTGAAATTTTTTTTTGCATAAAAATTCACATCTTTCAAGACATTGTATTCTTAACGATCAATAGCCGTTGAATAGCGACTTTTCATGTCACATCAGGTTCATCTCTCAAAATCTGCACAATGCTTACATTTTTTGAAGAAAACAAAAAACTGAATATATTATTTGTTAAATGTGTTTCATTGTTAATCACTATATACATTTTAAGAGACAAAGTTAATATAACATAAAAAAAGTTGTAATTCAACAGTTATTAATCGTTAAGAATGTAGTATTTTAAAAGATGTCATTTTCTTTTTTATGAAAAAGAACGTAAGGAAATAGTGAACTGAAAAGTAAGTAATAATGACGAATCATGGATCATAATGAATAGCAACAAGAAGAAGTCATTTGTTTTTGTTCTTATCATATTATAGAGTATTGAAAAGTAATGAGTGCCTACAGATATGACTTTCAAACATTCTGCTATGTACCTTATGACTTTATTTGTACTTGATTTTGCTTTTCTATTAAGGGGGGCCCCCTCCTCAGAAATGAACGTTGTTATTTTTCATCCGATTTCAACCAAAATTTCAGAGAATGTTAGTCTTGACTAGAATAGCTTATGGTTAGAATATCTTCCCCAAATCTCAAAGAAATGTACAAGTTCTAGTCAATTCATTACCCTCTACGCGGGCAAGGATTTTGCAATATGGATACGAGCTAACAAGCCCGGGCAGTTTTCAAGTTGTAGAGTACCCTTAGGGCTAGATCCTCACAGGGTCCGATTTTTGAATTTCCCTTTGTTTGTTTTTTTGAAAAGTCTTTTTCGTAAAATTCACGAAATCATGCCCAAAAAAATTGCTAACAAAAATGAAATATCTAAGTTGTTTATTTCACTAAAAGAGAAATTCAAAAATCGGATCCTGTGACGATCTAGCCCTACCTGTCTACTATGTATTAAAAAAAAAATTACCAGTTCTCTATTGAGTCATTATTAAAAAAACCTTGCCCGCGTAAACAGTACTGTCGAAAAAACTAATTTTGAGAAAAACGCTAAATAAGTTTTAGAAATTGATTTTTGCGAAATTCACTTGAATTATATATCAGTGCTCAGGACAAGCTGTAGATCTGTGATCTTTATCTTAGGTAGTAGTAGTAGTTTTGTAGTGATTGATATAAAAAGAACTCTACTCAATGCTAATACAAAGAGAAAAACACCCTAAAAACTTGAAAAAAAATAGAGAAAATTTCTCGAAAAATTTGATAATAGAACGTAAGTTTCAGGTGGTAGGTCCATCAAATTCTATTCGTTTTGCGAAAAGCCACAGATATTCTGAAAGAGGAGTCTTCGGTACATCTTCCTATTATAAAAACTCGACTTTGACTTTTCTTCGAAAAATGGGGTTTTCTGAGGGAGGAGCCGCCTTAATCCGTTTCCAAGAATTCGAAAATCCTTTAAGAATTTCCAAGAATATGTGTTTATTTTAGTATCAGAAATTTAATCTAGAGCAGCTCTAATATTATTATAGCCGAAATCATGCATAATTTAGAAATATAATATCTCTCTCGAGGTACGTCATCAGTAACTTATACTTTATATTCATTAATTTCTCTGTGAAAGTGATCATTTGATCTGAACATCTCCAATCTTTTTTTTTAACATACAGTAGAAACTCTTTCATTGTTAGTCTAATAAATTATCTATTGATGAAATTATTTTCGATGTCTGTTTCAATATAGAGACTTACGCGTATGCTTGACCACAAAGTATACCACATGTGAGTTGTGAATAACCATAGTCAGCATTACCAGAACTATTGAACAATGCTTGCATGGCAAAACTAACTTGATCAGTGCAACTTGAATATGGTGATGATAAAATAGAATAAGACCTTTTTGTAAAAGATAATTTATGTTTTCGTCCTGTTCCAAAATAAAGACCAGCTATGTCAATCAATGGCATTTGAGTATTATCATGAATCATACCAACCATACCAACGCCTATGTACATGTAGAGAAGAATCTATTTTCATGATATTGTTTTACTTACTGTCCGCGACAAAACGCACATATTGATGAGTATGTGTATAGAGACGAAGTTCAAGTTTTCCAGTGCCTCCGTTATCAGTTGCATATCGTAGAGTTCTATTTTTGACTTTTGCATTAAACGTGTAGCAGAGACCATAGTTAGGAGACATAAACGTAAGAAAATCGTCCGTTGTACAATTGAATCCATTATATTTACATTCTATCAACATTGAACTTAATGGATACATGAATTCTTTCAAAGGTTGGTTATTATTCATTGTGAATTGAACAAATTCCATGAGAAATAAAGATTGATAAGATGATATTGAGCTGTTATCAGTAGTATTCGTCAGATTATGTGAATTTGTATAGTTTAAAAATGGTCCAATGAATTTATCGAATCGAATTGGTGATCTATTACAAATACTAAATGCTGGAAAATATTGTGGCCAGTCAACAACAACAGCAACGTTCGTTTGAGTAAGATAATCAAAATATGCCCGAATAGATTCAATCACAAAATAGAGCGTAATACCGGTAAAAATTAGAGTAGAAATTGACCAAAACATACAATTGTGAGTACTTCGACTACGAGCAATACCTGGAATACCATGAGCCGTTGTGTTAAGACCAAATTCACGAATGATCGAACGGCGACTTTGCCGATTTCGCAAGGGCTCGACATTGATTGGATGAATTGTAAATGCATCTACGATTCGAGGATTTGCCATTGATTTATCTATTTTATCAAAAAGATCGATTTGTTATAAAGGCTAATTATGTTTGCATGTTTGATTTGCCAGTGTAGCTCAAATGTAACATCACTTAGAGTTATATCTACCGAAGTTTTTTACGAGCTACGGCCATGTCTACGTTACTATTACTATTAATATGTTGATTCACAACATTTTTGAAGAATTTCGAAACGAATAATTTAGAATTCTGAAATTCTAGAATCCGGCCAAGTTGTGACTTCGATTCTCTTTAAAACTCTGGCCATTCCTGTTTTCAAGATATTCTTTAGAATCGTTCAAAATCTTCAAATGAGTCGAAAAAAAGTGAATATTGTGTGAATTATAACAGACTGTCGAGTAGAATCTATTCAAAATTTCGATATTAGAATTCTTTTAGGAAAAGAAGCTGTTTTAGCTGACGATCTTATGAAAAATACATGAGCACTTCGTCGCTGTGGTATTCCGATTATTCTTGAAAAGATTGTTCATGCATTGGGCACGATAGTACGTTAGGAACTTGTTTCAATCTTGGCCATTTATAATTTCAAGATTTCCTCAGTTTTATTAGAATTCTATGCGAAGTTTTTTACCCAGGTCGAACATTACTGTGCCCGTAAACGACCGTACACAGCCGTTTACGATGACGTGAACGGCCGTATCCGCCAAAACTACGACCGTATACGGGCCGTAAATAACCCGTTTGGTATGCGCCGTATTACGGTCGTGTGAGACCGTGTCGTGTACGGCGAAAAACGACAATCGTTTACACCAAAATCTGTGCCGTAACACGGCAGTATTTTGACGAAGACGACAGTTTACAACGACGTAAACGATCGTAAATGAAGGTAACCGACCGTTTTCGGTCACACATTTGGAAAGGATTTCACCAGAATTTCATTTGGATTTCACATTGATTTCACATGGATTTCATTGGGATTTCATATGGATTTCATATGGATTTCACTTGGATTTCACAAGGATTTCATATGGATTTCATTTGGATTTCATATGGATTTCACTTGGATTTCACATGGATTTCACATAGATTTCATATCGATCTCATATGGATTTCATTTGGATTTCACCAGAATTTCTTCAGTCTCTCAGTTCGATATGATTTTGATATCACCTGGATGCCATCAAAAGATTATCATCACTGCACATGCATTTTATATCGATTGCTTTTGGATTACGTCTTGGGTCTGATTCCGGCGACCGTTTTACTTGATTCCAATATAGCTAAACTGTGAGAAGACTGCTACAATGTGCGTAAGTATCCTTTCATTGTACTCAGCGGCGCAAATTAGTCCCGTAACTACCGCCTTTACGCTGGCGCAGCCTTCTTTTTCTCGTGATTCAGATTGCGACGAGAGAAGAATACACTTATAAAAGCACTCACCTTTGGACACCTGTAATGTACTGGAAGGGCAAACTAAATCCTGATATATATAGAGCTGTTGCTGCTAAAGAAAACGGTGAATGATTACTTGACCAAAATCTTACAAGAAATCCAAATTTTGAAAGGCGAAATTTCGGATTGAAATGAGAAGTGAATGAGTGAAAGACAAAGTAAATCCCGGTATATATAGAGCTCTTGCTACTAAACAAATCGGTGAATGAATACTCGACCAGAAATCTTACAAGAAATCCAGATTTCAAAAGTGCGATTTTTAGAGAGGAAAGACAAAGAGTATGGTTGAGTGAGAAAGTAAATCCTGGTATATATAGAGCTCTTGTTACTAAACAAATCGGTGAATGAATACTCGACCAGAAATCTTACAAGAAATCCAGATTTCAAAAGTGGGATTTTTCGAGAGAAACGACGAAGAGTATGGTTGAGTGAGAAAGTAAATCCTGGTATATATAGAGCTCTTGCTACTAAACAAATCGGTGAATGAATACTCGACCAGAAATCTTACAAGAAATCCAGATTTCAAAAGTGGGATTTTTCGAGAGGAAAGACGAAGAGTATGGTTGAGTGGCAAAGTAAATCCTGGTATATATAGAGCTATTACTGCTAAACAAATCGGTGAATGAATACTCGACCAGAAATCTTACAAGAAATCCAGATTTCAAAAGTGCGATTTTTAGAGAGGAAAGATGAAGAGTATGGTTGAGTAAGAAAGTAAATCCTGGTATATATAGAGCTATTACTGCTAAACAAATCGGTGAATGAATACTCGACCAGAAATCTTACAAGAAATCCAGATTTCAAAAGTGGGATTTTTCGAGAGGAAAGACGAAGAGTATGGTTGAGTGGCAAAGTAAATCCTGGTATATATAGAGCTGTTGCTACTAAACAAATCGGTGAATGAATACTCGACCAGAAATCTTCAAGAAATTTGGATTTCGAAATCAGAATTTTTCGTGAACAGTATGTCTGTCGTTAACTAGGGAATCATGTTGCAGATTTTTTGTGGTTACTTTTCGGATCGTAAGTTGGGCTCCGATTGATACTTATGTGGAGTAGATAGGATGGAATTGAGTGAACATATTGCTGCGAATTCAAAGCAATGACGGTGCGGGAATGAAGGAGTAGTATGTATGGGAAAGTAGAGCGAGTTATGCCTTGGTTAGTGGAACGAAGAACTGGGATGTGAATGTTGTTTTTCTAGTTTTTGTAGGGCGACGTCTTTCACCTCTCCTGATGTTTTGTAATATACTTTTTGTGTTGTGGTTCTAGTACCTTGAATGATGTGAATAACTTTTTCGGAAGTGTTTGTGAATATACTGAATGAAAATTGCATGAGATGTTTAGTGGTACTCATTGTATTGGTAGAAATATGGTTTCTGGTACTAAATGATGGTATTGATAAATGAATGAATCTGAGTTTAGTACGCTGAGTTGATGTGGAAAAAAATCAATTTTCTGGTACGTTTGTTAGTCGGAATATGTTTGTTGCCTTACTGGCAGGCGGAGTTTTGAAGCTGAGAACTTTTCCCCGTCTTTGTATTATCTATGTTGAAAACAAGCTGCATGTTCATAAAAATGCTGTTTCATGAATCATGAGGTTAGATTCTCATGTATATGGTAGTTTCGACATGGTGATTCACTTTGCATCGGAAATAGTTTTCGGAAGTTTTGAAGATAAGTGATAAATGCTGTTTTTCTGCATGAAACCTTGATTCTCGTTAAATTAATCACACTTCTATTCAGTGGAACAGGACTAAAGATTCATTGGGAAAAGTTGATTTCGTTTATAATTTTTATTGTGGAGACTGTCAAATAATATTTAGTTTATTTTTTCTTTTTGTTTCTTGATATTGTTAGTAATGTTTTGGTTTAGGTTGTTTATGGTGCAACGATGAAAAGGAAATTACCAAAAAGCATTTCAATAACAAAAAGTAATATGTGTATATTAGAGATATATTAGGGTAATGGAAACGATGAAAACGAAGTTTCAATGATAGCTTTCAAAACTTGTGCAACGAAATACCAATTGTTGGTAGCATAATACTTGCGGCATACGCTTCTTTCACCGAATTATAGATGCATTGATTTCGGAGAATCCACTTTGAGATTTATAGAATTTCGAGAATTTTATCCCTCGCTAACCACTCTAGAGTGAGGGTGCGGGTAAGGGAGAGAATGGCTAGAGGTAAGGGTAATGATGAGGTCGACGTTAATGTTAGCTTCTTTCGACAGTAACTATGCTCATCATCACTTTCACCTTCTCATCCTGCCCGTCACCGGCACCTTCATTGTGAAATTACCCTGTGTGGGTAATATCAGTATTTTTGAAGAAGACCCCTATTTCACCCAATAACCCCATTCAGAAATGGTACCATACGATAGAGAATTAAATTCTGCACCTAACACAATCATTTATGGAACCAGCACAGCTCTACAGGCACATCCGGACCAGAAAAATACGAATCTGGTGCTAACTTTAGGTATGTTAAAAAAAGAGTCAAATCTTATGAGAAAGTATGTTAACATAAAGAATTATTTAGTCTCGAGTTTAAAATGGTATGAGTAAATTTAAGTTGCGTAAATAGAATGCCTTTATTGACAATTTGATCGTATCTAGAAAGAAATCTGTTGAATCAAATAGTAACACGCATAGGATCTCATGTCTGTTATTGTGATTATATCTATTATTAGCCACTTATTGTAACCATATAAAAGGTTTTGACGAAAAGTCAGATTAACAATCGAATAGTCATTTATACAATTTTAACAATCGATTAAAATAAATTAAAAATAATTATTATCAAATCCCATCCATCATTTAGATTCAGATATCATATTAAAATCAAATTAAAAATAACGTCATTACAATCTATCAAAATTCGATTATTAATCGAAAAATCGGTTTTAATCTGACTTTTCATCAAAATTTTTTTTACATGGGTTTCACATAGAACAACAGGGATTTCCTGGATCTTTGGTATTATAGTTCAGTTCATGTACGTGCAGTTCACCCTGCAAATTCAATTTCAGATAGGAGAATCTGTCAAATTAGATCTTGAGAAACATTATGTCTAGCTGATGCGCACTGAGCAAAGCAAAATCCACTTTCGCAGTCTTTTTTACCAGTTATTCAAGAGATACAAGAGATACTGCTAATTAAACATTTCAGTTGCAATCTTACACAAATCTGCCTCAATTGAGAGACCCAATACAACAATATTCAGCATACTGTTTCTAGAGTGATCATTTTCCACACTTAATACACTTAATACAAAATCGTAAAATACTCTTCATGTGGACAGAAAATTTTTTAAACGAAATCCGAAATTAACAATTGAAAATTTGTTGATTTATTGATAAAAATCTAAAGAATGTATACGTGAAGAGAATTTTACGAGGCAAGGGATGGTGTCGATCTCAGATTCTTTTATGAAAATTTGTACTATTTTTGATAGATTTGAAAAAAAGTGCTTCAAATTTCGGTTCTTCTAGTAGCGAAGTTCTGATTTTCCCACTATGTCTAAGAAAAGTAGTTCGTCGTCGTTAACAACTGTGCAAGGACACTACAATAAAAAACGATGAT